CGTCATCCATTGACGGCACGCAATACCAAATTTGGCAAATGTGGAACTAGCGAAACGGCCGCGAGCGCATCATGAACGTAGCAAGTAGTCATGCCCTTACATGACACGCATCTCGTGTTTATCATGTTTGCACAAGTATCATACCTTCGTCATCCATTCACGCCCTGTAATACCAAATTTGGTATAGGTGAAGCTAGCAAAATGGCCGCGAGTGCATCATGAGCGAAGCATGTAGTCATGTTGTTACATGACACGCATTTCATGTTTATCATGTTTGCACCAGTATCAGATTTTCGTCATTCATTCACGTCCCGTACTACCGATTTTGGTGTATGTGAAGCAGTGAAATGGCCGCCAGCGCATCATGAGCGTGGCATGCGTGTAGTCATGTTATTACATGACACGGATCTCATGGTTATCATGTTTGCACCAGTCACATGACTTCATCACCCATTCACGCACTGTAATGCCAAATTTGGTATATGTGACGCTAGCGAAACGGCCGCGAGCACATCATCAGCGTGGCATTAAGTCACGTTGCTACATTACACCAATTTCATGATTTTCATGTTAGGGTCTGACACTTGTGTTCGCCATGCAATATTGTCATGCCATACCAGTTTTGCATCATGCTATGCAAACGGAACCACCGCAAGTGCTGCAGGACCATGAAATGTAAATCATGACATCCATGACATACTTGTCATGATTTTGATGTTATGACTAGTGAAATATGTTCTTCATATGGTCATGTTATGCCATACCAAGTTTGGTATTGATACCATTATCGAAATGGCCAGGAGAGCTAAAAGTCGTAGGCGGCCATATAGATAGATAGATAGATAGATAGATAGATAGATAGATAGATAGATAGATAGATAGATAGATAGATAGATAGATAGATAGATAGATAGATAGATAGATAGATAGATAGATAGATAGATAGATAGATGGATAGATAGATAGATAGATAGATAGATAGATAGATAGATAGATAGATAGATAGATAGATAGATAGATAGATAGATAGATAGATAGATAGATAGATAGATAGATAGATAGATAGATAGATAGATAGATAGATAGATAGATAGATAGATAGATAGATAGATAGATAGATAGATAGATAGATGAGATAGGATGGATGGATGGATGGATGGATGGATGATGGATGGATGGATGGATGGATGGATGGATGGATGGATGGATGGATGGACGGACGGACGGACGGACGGACGGACGGACGGACGGACGGACGGACGGATACGCTCAATGTCGCCGAAGTTCGCTAAGAAATGCTTCGCATTTAAAAACGATATGCCGATGAGCTGCATCGCGTTTGGATGTCAGTCGCGTCTCACAACTTAGGTTTTGTTTGTTGGCCACATCGCCGCCCTCAGCGCTTATGGTGGAAGTTACGTGCGGACGTCGCTATAGCTTTACCCATAATGTCGACATCAGCCTACTTGTGTTTACGAACATGCAATGGGTCTATATCACTAGTGTGCTCACAGCCTTTGGCTTTCCTCATTCGTTTGTGGAAACAAACAGAAATGCGTACACTGGTCTAAAAAAATTGGCAGCATATCCACGGAGTGAATGATGGAGAGTGGGGCGAAGCATTCGTCCGTCCATTCGTGCTTGCTTCCGTCCGTCAATGCGTCCGTCTGTGTGACCGTACATGCGTTCATCCGCCCGTCCGTTCGTGTGTCTGTTCGTGCGTCCGTTCCTGCGTTCGTCCATGCATCCGCCTCTGCGTCCGTTCATGCGTCCATCCACGCATCTGTCTGTGTGTCCGTTCGTCCATCTATTCAACACTCCAAGTACCACCATCTCGCATCTTTTCATCATATATTCCCCATATAGAAGCACCGCCATCCAGCGGACATTCCAAGGACTAAACGAGACGTGGCACACGCACACTTCTTACGGCTTGCGCTTCGGGTCTACTTCCCAGCTTTAACCACCTCGAGTTCATGGTATACACTACTTCACTGTATTCATGGCACTGCGGCCCAACGCTCGCTAAACCTTTCTAAAACCGAGGAGGTTACGCCCAGCGAGTACAACATAGCTACCCTTTCTTGTCAGATAGTGCTCAATGTGCATGCCAATGGCTGCTAATGGGGATCGCAGCGTGCGCGTTAACTAAAAGCCGAATGCTCCTGTCTCTTATTCCTCATTATCAGCCATTGGCATGTACATTGAGCACTATTTTTTATTGTTCAACAACGCACAAAAGAAATCTCTTACCGGGACCACCTTGGAGGTCAAAATGTTATAGTTTTATAGTTGTTATCTACTACAACGGCTACGAGAGACGAATGGGTGTTGCTATAAGGAGCTTCACCCCTAAAAAACACACTAGTTCTGGATCACTGAGAGAGTGCCGTCTTCTGTATTATACATATGGGGTCCGTCAGGGATGTCTATTGTCTCCTGTGCTGTTTATTTTGAGCTTTGAGCCATATTTGCGTGCTCTTGACGTGGATTCACGCGTTCGGAGTCTTGCGCTTCCTGGTAGCAGTGTCGTGAAAGTCACAGCTTTCGCTGATGATATAACCTTGTACGTTTCAGATGAAGATAGCCTTTCACGCAGCCTACGTGTATTTTTCTAGTATAGCGACATTTCAGGTGCAGCGTTGAACATCTCCAAATCCCGGTATTTCTTCATTGGATCTCGAAACTCCAGGCTTATCTCCGTTTTTCCTATTCAGCCGGCCACGTCCCTTCGTATTTTGAGTATTTTATACAACCACTACGGCATTTGCGAATTCGTTTGGTTAAACGCTCATGAAAAAGTAAGGCTAAAAATTCAAGACGCACGGGGTTTTAACTTTCCGCTTCTTGAGCGGAGGTACCTTGCGAAGACTGTATTTTGCGGTCGCACTTTGTACTTTTCTCACGTCTTGCAACCGTCTTTACGTAGCTTGCGATCACTGCAGTCGGCTTTGTGTTCTTTTTTTTTTGGTCAGGTGGCACTGAGTTGGTCTCTCGTGCGGCACAGGGGCAGCAGTGTTCTCAGGGAGGCACTTCGCTTTCTTTTGCGCTATAGTACAGGGGGAGGAATCTCCCGCACGAACGCTTGCATATTACTTTCTTGGTACCCAACTCCGGCATTTGATGCCTAATGTGCACTTTAACAGGGGCCTCAGTCAATAACACTTTCTGCGTTATAAGCAACAACTGTTGCATTTTTTCGCTATGTCCAGTCAACCTGTCCTGGCATAGATGTGTTGAACAACCACATAGTTGAGACAGCTGCTGCTTTGTTGCTTCCGTCAGTTCACCCAGCCCGCCGTGCTCGCTCTATAGTCGGGTGCCTTGGAGCACGTTAACGGCTTCTTTTCTGTCTGTACACTTCCGAGACTTCATGGGGTGCCTGGGCTGGGGTGTGCTTCTCACCCTCGACCGCCTCGAAAGGTGGAGAATGGTCCAGTCAGCAACATGCCCTAACTGCTCTCCTTCGGGAAACAAATCAGCATTTTCTGAGCAATTGTGTCATTGCTCGCGTTTTTTTTTTTTTTTTTTGAGATGCGTACATGCTGGATTTCGCCGCTTCAGATTAAATCGCATTGTTTATTCTGTGCATTGTTCTCGCGGCCGCTTCGCTTGTCTTCTCATTGTTGCTGGTTCTTTCTGCCTCTGGCGCAACCGCTGCGAGGCGGTTGCAGCGGGCCGCCGCCGCCACGCGCTCTTCCCGATCCTAGAGCGATTTTACTCGGAGCTGCTGTCTGTTTTGTCGGAGGAGCACTTCTTCCTCGGTGAAGAGGAATTCCTTCGGCACTGGTTTTGCCCTTTTGTGTCGGTCAATGACGGACGAGTGAAACGTCTTTCGGCCGGCCTGGTATTGCTAGGCTGATGAGTTGACGTGATGGCAGAAATGACATGCCAACATGTATATATGCGAAATGTGCATAATCGGGTTTTATTTGTGCCTCTTGTTTACTTTGCGATATTCTAATGCGTATCTGTCCTTTCTTGATACATTTTTGTGTGGCTGTGTTTGTGTGAACCATCGAATGTACATGTTTTATCCACGTCCTCTCATATCCACGTTCATGTAATTGAAGTATGTTTTGTCATCGTTATTGCATGTCAAGAAGAAAATGTTCTGGTGAAATGTTATTGACGTCTGTGACAATATATGTTTCTAAACACAGACTCCATCGATGTTATGGCGTGGGAGACCGGATCGAGGAATCAATCCTGTCAATATTGTCTGTTTCTAGGATAGCTTTCCGCTTTCACGTAGTGGAGTACCAGGTACTGTGAATTGTTGAACACTTTTTCTAAACACAAATCTCGTATAATTAAGATGTCTCCCGGTCAGCATACATATTTTGTCCAATGCCGTGAAACAGTCGTTAATTCGATCGATCGTCGGAGAGCACCAGGGATCAAGAACCACCAATATGCTACCCAAAGCAGCGAAAATGGCATTTGCTTACAGCCGGAACGTCTTCGGGCGTTCAGAAAGACGTCATCACCATCCACAACTACGTTGTCGGTACCTAATAAGGCATGGGTTTAGAGCAGTCCTTCGGCTCAACGAACGTGGTCTTGGTCATGTTCACATTGTGAACGAAGCCGCACATAGATGAATCGTATCTTTTGTACCGTATAATTTACACAAAATAATTACTGTAATTAGGCATTCCTCGACAAACCGAAGATGCATTGATGAAACAGTTCTAATAGTTTTCTTGATGCTTTCGATATTCGTTTGATTCGGGCAGTTCCTTCGATCCCGTGAAATTCAGATGAACGAGGTTTTATTGTATTCACGTTTTACCTGTGCTGTCTGTTTACATTGTAATGTACCTATGTATACCTATATTCTTCAATAAAAACTTGTGGCGTTACCTCCAGTTCATTTGACTTATGTCCATGCAACTCACGTCCATGTAACTCAAGTCGCTCGCGTTCATCACTAGTAGCGGGTGCTGAATAACACTCCCAGGAACAGAAACAAAAAAACGAAAAAACTTCATACACACCTGCTATGCCCTCGACATCGATGTTGCCTCTCGACAGGCTTCTGCGTCTTTCCTGCAGCAGCTCGTGTGAGAGCGAGTTGATTACCGGCATCATCATTGCGGTGATTGCCACATTGTTGATCCATATGGAGAGGAACATGGAGATGAACATGATGCCAAACACGAGCCTGTATTGTGGCGGGAAAAAAAAAAGCAAGGTGCATGATGAATGGGTTTCTTGCATTGCACGAAATCTTCAGCATAATAAATATCGGCCATGAAGAGCTATTATAACTTTTTAAGTAGTATTCTGGCACTCTTAAGCGTTCTATGTTGTCGACGAGAACGCATTTCAGATCGCTGATCGGTTTGAAGCTGTAACGCAAACGCTATGGTAGTACGACATATATCCTTTTTCAAGTCGCTTATAGTTTCATATTGGCACCCTTGCTGTGCATTAAGCATCATTATTATGGTGATGCCGCTCTAAAAGTTTGCTGTAGCGCAATTTACAAAGCAAGCCTCCTGAAAGCCGAAAACTGCGCTAACGGGCCGTGTGTTGTCGTGCTTTCAGCATCAAGTTGTATCTACATAGGCTTCTTGCGAGGACCCCCTGCAAACGGCCGTATTGCTCTATTCTAACGGTGTCGAGGAAGTGAAAAGGAGCTCACATTTTGATGCCAGTGCCCAGCAGGCAAAGTGTCTTGAGGGCTATTCTTTGATGCAGGTGAGAATGTTCAATGGCGATAGCCATTATTAGAGTTCCGACAAACATGATATTTGTTTCCTGGAGTAAAAGAAAACATTAATATAGGTGAACGTAGTTTTCCTATCTTATCGATACCGTAAAGTTATGTTTACTATCAAGAGAGAGTGCGCGCACTGGTACCTGCATTTCATGATATTTCATGCGAATTCGCCGAAATACCACAACATCGTCTAGACCTTGTCCGATCGATGTATCAATTCCAAACAGACAGGTATGTTATCTTGTACAGCACAACACGTAATAAAGCCGTTCATAGATTGAAAACAAAACGATCTAGTATCATTTTCTTGGTGCTTACTTTAGTGGCAATTATTGAAGCCGCCCGTGCGTGATTTTGGACGAGTTATTTACATACTTCTGTTTCCCATATGATGTAAGAAGTAAATGAAAGAGGAGGTGGTTGAGGCGTGAAATATACTTGGCATTCATGGAAGGCTACTGCGGGAATTCTGTGAATTTGTACTCTTCCAGACTTTTCAAATGGCACATTGTCTTGAAGCCGATGCACTGATCATCAATGGGGAAAATATGTTTTCCAACAGGAGTAAACAGTTCAGCCCACTCTCTCATTTATCGATTGAATTCTTTAGGAGTAGGCCGTCATGCAAGAGTGGCATATGCGAATGAATATATTGTTTTGTCCATCTACAGAAATAATAAATTGTTTTCAAGAAAGATTAAAAATTATAACATTGAAAAACCTTGCTCAACAGATGGCTACAAAAAAAGAAACAAAACATACTTCAACAAGTGAAACGTTTTACAGTTTAGAGTTTAAACACAAGCCTACGTACATTGATTGGAATTTAATCCGAAAAAGTGTAGAGAATGAAGTTTTCAAAAATCGACTTTGTAAGATACCTACACGCAAAAAGTAATGTCTGATTAGTCTCTCACTAGTAATCATTCATTCATTCATTTTCAGAATAAAACAAAAAAGATTATTATATGAATCGATGTCTCAAACCAAGAACAAGATTTCTTTCGCACGTTTTTCTCGGTATGAAAGACGAAAGAGAGAGAAACAACTTTATTGATGGCATAGCAAGGTCGGTAAACTTAATTTGCCGGTGGTTCCAAGGGTGGTGGCCAAAAGCTTGCCAGGACCGTTTCGGCCCAGTTAAAGTGTTCCATTATTCTAGAACACTATAGCCCAGTTAACCACTTCTGCCTGAAGACGGTAGTCAGCTGACGACAGGAGCGACTTCCACGCCTCGAGGGAAGAAGCTGGCAGTATTGTTCTCGGGGGGGGGGGGGGGGGGGGGGGGGTTACCCTCGCATTCCCAAAGAATGTGATTTTGGGTAGCTTTCACGCAGCTGCAATGTCGGCAGCTTGGTTGAATCTCTTCTGGATACATTTTCGACAGCCTACGAGGGCTGGGCGAGGAATCTGTTTGGATTTGCCTCCACATCGTGGCCTGTTCCCTTGACATATCTGCCTGCGGGGTCGCGTATATATGTCTCGCGATTCTCTCGGTAATACGCTGTAATTTCGTTATACGTGGTGAAAAGACGCGAGAAGAATTTATTTTTCACTGGCATACTCACATTCATGTAGAGCACACACGTCTGCTCCGTTGTAAGGACTCCGAGCATCGGGAATAGTACGATGGGTATCAACGACGTAGCTCCCAGTGGAATGGGCTCCGTGATCCAGTAGAACCCCACAACAGCCACCACGTAGGCGCAACGAGCCTTCTGCAAAACGCTGGTCTCGTTAAAACAAATCCGTAGAGTCCCCCGGGCGAACACAGCAAAACGGTAATCTATATCGGCATGAACCATACGTATGTTCTGTTCTGGCTTGATTGACGTGGTAAGGTTTAGGTTTTTATTCATATGGCGAATTCTTCATATAATAATAATAATAATAATAATAATAATAATAATATAATAATAATAATAATAATAATAATAATAATAATAATAATAATAACGGTAGGCTAGGGGGCACAACGCCAACCCCCATATATTGACAATATTGTAAATTGCGATGACAATATTGCTATTGCCAGAGCAACCGCCCCAAAAAGGCGTTGGTCCCGGGTTCGAACGCCGTACCAGGACGAATTTTTCGGCAACTGAGAAGCTTTTATTTCTGAGAAATCCGTATGGATTTCCATGTGGCTTCGTGCTACAAACGGGTGGTTTTTTTTTTTTACTTTTCTTGACATTGACAATATAGGAAGGAGATGGTGCTGCGACGAACTTTCGGCACCGCTGAAGAGTTCTGCACTTTCTCGTGGTCAGCAGTTGTGGGAGGCTGCTGTGCGCAGCTGCAACCGTGCCGTTCAGGGCGGCTGTCCTGAAAAGGGCTGAGTTGACCTGCTGCGAAAAGGATCCCTCGCCTTCCTTTCGCCGCCATTTTTCATTAGGACATAATAAATAAGGTTGCTCTTTTTTTTCCGCTCACCCAGCAGAAGGCAAACAGCTTAAAATATTTCTTAGCGGATACTGGACTAGATAAGCGCTCACATGCTCCATACGATTATCAATTAATCAAATTCCTCCTTTCAATTCGGGGCGAGCTTGTCAAGCACATTTCTCTAGATACGCACTTCATCTCTGTTGTCTACGTGATGGAGGTCGATATGACGAGAGCCAGTACGTCCGATACTCAGAAATGGGCGCCGTTCCTGATGTCTTCAAGCTCCACGTTCCAGTGACCAGCTTCGCGAGTGACGACGGGAACATGCGACGGAAACGACACACTCGTAGCTCCCCCTCTGATTTTTTTTTGTCCAATAACTATTTTCTTTCTGGACCATGAAAAACTGGAGGCATGTGCAGTTGACCTTGGTGATTTTACCGTCTTTTCTATATTTCTTTCCAAAGGATAAGTTAGGAATAGGTTAGGAATAGGTAGGAATAGTTAGGAATAGTGAGCATTGTGAGAGTGAGTAAGAGTGAGTATGAACGTGAGTGAGTACTTTGAGTGTGAGTATGAGTGAGTATGAACGTGAGTGAGCACTCATGAGTGTGAGTAGATGTGAATTTGAACGTGAGTGAGTACTAATCAGTGTGAGTATCCCTAAATATGAACGTGAGTGAGTATTCATCAGTGTGAGTAGGAATGAGTGAGAGCTTGTGAGTGTGAGTAGGAATGAGTGAGAGCTTGTGAGTGTGAGTAGGAGTGAGTATGAACGTGAGTGAGTACTCTGAGTCTTAGAAGGAGAGAGTATGAACGTTAGTGAGTACTCATGAGTGTGAGTAGGAGTTTGAACATGAGTGAGTACTGATGAGTGTGAGTATTCGTTAGTATGAATGTGAGTGAGTATTCATGAGTGTGATTAGGAGTGAGTGAGAGCTCATGAATGTGAGTAGGAATAAGTACGAACGTGGGTGAGTACTCATGAGTGTGAGTAGACTTGACTGCGAAGGTGAGTGAGTTGCTGTGAGTGTGAGTAGCAACGACTAGGAACATGAGTGAGTTACTATGAGTGTGATAAATATTGTAACCACCGCAAAGGCGTCCTCAATACGTTGGAAATAACGGGCACTATGGCATGCAAGCTTCCTGTACGTAAAAGCCTTCAGTTAGCTTGGAAACTGGGCGAGCCATCTTACATCAGATGGGGGGAGGGGGCGAGGTGACCGCGCAAAACTCGAGTTGAGGGTAGCCGACTATTTTATTGTAACTTGAATTTTCTAGGCTGCATAACTTTGAACTGCCTGTTCCTATAGCTACCGTTCTTGCTGCACTTACCTCTTGCGCCTTCAATCTACGCTACGCGCTGATAATACATGTAAAACAACAAGGTCTTGAGAAGCCCTTTAACGAAAATCTCCGCGTGATCCGGTTCAGAAAAAAGAAATGCACTGCGAGAGCGACGAAAAAAAACACGCTGAAGTGGCCCGCGAGAGAAAGCACATCGTGTGCGCTACGCACATTGTGCGCAGCGATTTTGCAGTTTCTATCTCTGCGTAGTCCCTCAAGTGAAGGTTGCCTTGAACGAAAACCTTAACTGATCTCATGACCTCTCAAGCGCGAAGCTGTGTGCAAACTTCGCCTTCTCAGTGCCCCATTAAGAAAAAAAAAAAGGAAAGCTTGGAGGACGGTTGAGCTTCGCCGTCAATAGTATAGTATGCGATAGCGTAATCGGACCCTGTTCGCATCACCGTTTCATTCTCTAACCTCGTTTCACTTTTCGGCGGCTTATTATGCCTTCAACAGTGCAGATACAATGTGCAATAAGCGCCCAATCACCCTTGATAATTTATGCTATCATTCACCTAACGCGGGCTAGTACAAAAAAATTGCCCGCAGCTTCCCTCGGGGGAACACTGAGGAGGATGCGGACCATATAATTGGTTAACGGGGTGTTAAAGTGCGACTTACTTGGGTCGATGGCTAAATTGGTTAACGTGGTTGTGAAATGGGGTGTTAAATTGCGACTTACTTGGGTCGATGGCTAAATTGGTTAACGTGGTTGTAGGAGGGGGTGTTAAATGAGTGAACACGTACACACGTATGCGAAAGGGCGGCGCTGGTCGAAGGGACGTCGATCATTGTGTTTGTGGATTCGTTGGAATTCATTTCACCGCGACCTTGGACGTCGACGCGCCGTACAAACCAACCGACGAGCGGCAACTGAGCGAGCGAGCGCCGACCTTGAGTATATATACAGCTCGACGGCGCATGCACTGTCAGCTGTTGAATGTTCTCGAAGCGCGACGCCACATGCGCGTCCACTGGAGAATCAGGAGAATTGTAGATGTCGAACGCGGTGTGTAGAGGAGGAAGGGTGCACAGATGGTGGAGGAGTGAAGCGCGCGCGGTGTGTAGAGGAGGAAGGGATGCACAGATGGTGGAAGAGTGGGCGACGGCGCGACGGCGCATGCGCGCGCGTCAGCTGTCGAATGTTCGAGAAGCGGTGCGGACGGCGCGGACGGCGCGGACGGCGCACTACAAGGCGCGAGTATAAGATGCTCCGCATCTAAAACACACATAACGCAACTCGTTAATTACCGTTTCATTCGGCTGTCCGCGATAACCCTGCGTACGCACACTGCCAATGAACGTTAACCGCGTCCGCAGATCCATAAATAAGGCCCCCTGCAATCGTCAGTGCGGGCACGGAGCCAACGAAGTCTCCGCGTGAGCGCGACCCACAGAGGAAGGAAAACATCTCCGAAGATGCGCACAATTTCTCGAATGCAAAACTGCCGTACGCAACGCATTCCATCTGAAGGCGAGGCAGAGGGGAGGCGCCGTCTCGACGGTCGCGCCGGGCCACAGAACACCTACCAGTGGCCGGTTGGCCGGGGTGGCTGCGGCGCTGACGTGGCGGCGAGGCCCCGGCGCCCGCCTGTCCCGCTAGTGCAGTCAGAAGGGGCTAGGGCAGTGGAACAAACGAAGTGGCCGAGCCGGATGGCATGGCAACGTCTTGGGTTCTGGCGGGTAATCATAGCGGCGGCCGTGTAGTATACTGAAGCTGTCGAGAGCGTCTCTGTTTCGCGCGCGTGCGTCGTAGCCTACGAAAGCGCGTTTTGAGTGCTTGTAACACATTACTGAGATTCTAAACGATGTCTCAGCGTCTCCTACAAGTCATGGCACACAAATGAATGTGCAGGTGCGTCGTAATTGCGCTGAGTCATTGCCTTTTTGTGGAGCCTACCTACCCTTAAAGAAAGCGACAATTGTTCAGCTCGATTGTTTCTTGAGTAACCTGAGTACACGTAACGCTACCTCAATGTTAATATTCATCATCGGCCTGACAACGTCCACTGCAGAACAAAGGTCTCTCCCATGATCCGCCACTCAACTCGGTCCTGTTCTTGCTGCTGCCATTATGTACCCGCGAACTTCCTAATCTCATCTGCCCACCTAACTTACTGTCTCCCCCTAACCCGTTTGCTTTCTCTGGAAATACGGTCAGTTATGCTTAATGACCAGCAGTTATCCTGCCTACGCGCTACATGCCCGGCCCATGTCCGTTTCTTCTTCTTGATTTCAACTATGATATCCTCTACCCCGGTTCGTTCTGATCCACTCTGCTCTCTTCTTGACTCTTAAGGTTACAACTACTATTTTCCTTTCCATCGCTCTCTGCGTCGTCCTCAATTTAAGCTGAACCCTTTGCGTAAGCCTCCAGGTTTCTGCTCAGCAGGTAAGTACCGGCAAGATGCAGCTGGTATATACCTTCGTCTTGAGGGGATAGTGACAATCTACCAGCCATGAGCTGAGAATGCTTGCCGAATCTTCTCCACCCCACTCTTATTCTTCTAGTTACTTCAGTCTCGTGGCTCGGCTCTCCAGGTACTACCTGGCCTAAGTAGACGTATATACATTTTCCAACTTGTGCACTGCCACCTATCTCGAAGTGCTGTTTTCTTTCGAGGTTGTTGTTCATTACTTTCGTTTTCTGTCGGTTATTTTGTAGATTCCAAGAGAAGGAAAGCGGGAAAAGGGGAGACATAGTTTGGTGGGCAGATGAGATTAGGAAGTTTGCGGGTATGAAGTGGCAACAGCAAGCAAAGGACCGAGTTGACTGGCGGAACAGGGGAGAGGCCTTTGTCCTGCTGTGAGGATGACGAGTATGTGAATGTAAAAGTACGTGGGTGAGTGCGCCTGAGTATGGGTAGGCGTAAATATGAAGGTGAATTCTTATGTGAGTGCGGAGGTGAGTGAGGGCCTATGATCTTGAGCAGGCGTGAGTATGAAGGTGAGTGAGTAACTATGAGTCTCAATTGAGGTGCACGAAAAATTGAAGTACAAAAAGGAGACACCAGGACACGGCGCGCTGTCTCGAGGAGTCTTCCTTCTGTACTTCAATTTTTCGCGCACCTCAGTTAATATGAATTACCAACTCGCCCAGCAGTCCGTGTTTCTCTAAGAATGTGAGTAGTCGTGAGTATGAACGTGAGCCATGAACAATGAGTGTGAGTAGGCGTGAGTATGAACGTGAGTGACTGTAAGTAGGCGTGAGTATGAACATGAGTGAGTACTCATCAGTGTGAGTTGTCGTGAGTATGAACGTGAGTGAGGTCCTATGAGTGCTAGCTGGCGTGAGTGGGAATGTGAGTGAGTACTCACAAGTGTGAGTAGTCGCGAGTATGAAATGAGTGAGTACTCATCAGTGTGAGTAGTCGTGAGTATGAACGTGAGTGAGGGCCTAGAGTGTGAGTTGGCGTAAGTTTGAACGTGAGTGAGTCCTCATAAGTGTGAGTAGGAGGGAGTATGAACGTGAGTGAGTACTCTCAGTAGGAGTATAAGTGAGTATGAACGTGAGTGAGTTCTCATGAGTATGAGTAAGAGTGAGTATGAACGTGAATGAGTACTTTCAGTGTGAGTAGAAGTGAGTTTGAACGTGAGTGAGTACTCATGAGTGTGAGTAGGAGTGAGTATGAACGTGAGTGAGTACTCTGAGTGTGACAAGAAGTATGAACGTGAGTGAGTACTTTGAGTGTGAGAAGGAGTGAGTATGAACGTGAGTGAGGGCCTATGAGTGGGAGTAGACGTGAGTATGAACGTGAGTGAGGATGAAGGCTGAAAAAATTGTGGTGAGTGAGTATGAGTGAGTAGTCCCTCAGAGTGCCGACCTATGGTAAAAAGTACTTAATCAGACGCTGCAGAGACGCATTTATGCTCTTGAAATTAGGAAGATTTTTGACTTCTCAGAAATTAGAAGATTTTTACTGCTCAGTGCATGAGAAAGAAATTCTTCTCCCGAAGGATAGCCTTCCCTTTGCCGAGGGGCATTGTACCCAAGAAAGCCTCTCAGGCTATTCTGACTTCTCCATGAGTAACTAGCTTAAGGGACGCAAGGTGAAGTACACCATGCGTGAAAAGAGACGTTCATGCCCACCAAATGGCTGGCTGTTCTCTCAGACTAACCTAGCTTGTACAAAGATAATCATCGCTGCCTCTGCTGTGCACCCCTTATCGATACTTGCATCTCTAATTAACAGCAACATTCTGCGATGGCGCTGCCCTGAGGCAGTTTGCGCGTGAAGGGCGCTGGTTCATTTAGCGTACGACTTCCGCAACGTCATACCTGAGCATCTTCGAGGAAAATCAAAGGCAGCAGGAGAAGAGGAACCAGGACCATCGCGATCTGTCTCCATATTTTAAGGGCCCCAGCCACGACCTTCTTCGCATTTTCTGTGGTGGGCGTCCGGAGTACGATCTTCGACGGCATCCGTACCACTTCGAGCTCCGAAGCACTCTGCTGTGGGCTGAGAACGCTCTGCACGAAGTAAGCTTGCGTAACGTAAAAAAAAAGTTTCTTCATGCTTGGAAGCAGCAAGCGACGTGCGGCGGTTAGCAGTGGAATCTTTGGCAGAAAAGGAGGAGAAATAGCAGCGGGATACCGGATCAGTTTGCATACTTGGAAGTCACGAGCAACTTCGCGAGCTAACACGTACGCCACTTACTCGCGTCTTGACAGTGACTGCAGACGGTCTTTCGTCATTCTATTGTGGGAAGTCAAACGGGCTCCGTCTGCATTGCCGTCAGCTAGTTAGTGACTTGTACGGCGAAGAATGGTTAGTACGAACTTCTCAACTTCCGTCACTCAGCTGGCGGATTATAATATCTGACAGACGGAAAAAAGCTTACTACCAAATCTCTTCGTTGTGCTGTTCATGCGAGATTGTAAAAAAAAAAAAAGACGTTTAGCCTAATCCTGGCCACGGCGACTGCAATTTGGTGGAGGCAAAGTGGTAAAGGTCATTGTAAGTACGTATATTTTGGTGCGTGTCAAAGAACACCTTATGACAGAAATTTCCGTAACTCTCCGCAACGGCGTTCCTCACGATCATATTGTGGTTTTGAGACGTTATATCCCGACAAGTGTTGTATTTTTAAAATCTGCAATCTTGTTGTTGAGTGTAATGAAGCCAACATAAGTTTCTAGGAACGTCATTGGTGCACTAACAATGGCCAAATTTAATAAAGCAACAACACTCCTAGCCGGCGTAGTTGGAATGGGACTAATCACTTGGACTAATCGCTTTCGCCTGAGGAATGTAGCCATATGGTAATTCATTTATACTGTGTCTCTCTCGCCTCCCACTTGGCTACCATTAATTTACAACAAAGTCAGTAGTTTACAAGTCCTTTATTTACACAATCTACAAAAAAGAAACTCATACTTTTTCACTAATAAGGGCTCACACACAAGTTGCGCAGCACTATGCTGTATTAAGCACATAATTACTACAATATACATGACAGACGTGACATGCATGTACAAAAGAACTGGATGGAATGTCATCATACAATGAATACAAAGGTACGACGATACAATAGATGCAATGGAAACAATTGGTTGCAAATGAAGGCATGAACAACAACACAACGGGAGCTGTTGAACATGAACATGAAAGCTTTAGTATCAGGACAGTCACTTGAAATAAACAGTGGGCACTGTCCTCCCTTGTGACCGATAATGCGCCCCTTCTCCCAGTCCACAAAATTTTCAATACTCTGCGCAAAACAAAAACAAAAAGGTCGATCATACGCACATATAAGTGATCACTAGAAGTCTCATACGTCGAAGCTTTAACCAGATGTACGCAATCATGCCACAGTTCGAACGTTCTTTTATATCTATTTCATTTTACACTAGTTTAAAATCAAATATTACCTAGAACTGAAATTTTAGCGAGCTCGTAGGTCTTCATAGTTCCACATGATGAGCGACAAAACAACGACACAAGAAGGAACACGAAGGTTAAGAGAGCACTAACTTCAAGCTGAAGTTCATTCTCACAAATGAAGGCCTATTTTTCAATCAAATCTAATCACAAAAGTGCGATGGTTTGTTCTTGCGTGATGACGCATATTTTTTACAGCGAAAGCTGCTATGTGTGCACCGTTGTTGTCCGCCGCCGCCATTGGTGTCCGTAACCGACATCGCACGAAAGAAAAAAAAAACTGTGTAAATTAAAATCCCAAGGACATTATGAGATTTGAACCCGGCTCCCCTGCATGTCAGCCTAGTACTCTACCATCGAGCCATGTCGGTGCTTGGAACTCCTTTGAAAACTGGTCTTAGGCAGGCTTGATGTCGGGAAAAAAAACGTGTTAGCATGAGTAATAAAGCCTCTTACAACAGCATATGAACAACCAGGTGTCACATAATGCGAATTGAGGAACGAGTGGGCCGCCGAATGCTGGAACTCTTTGCAAAAGCTTGATCTTGCCCACCCATTAACTGTGATGCATGCCCACTGTGTGAGATTGCGGGGATTAGAAAAGATGATGGCATAATTTTTCGTCATCAGCACCACAAACAAAAATGCACAAAATTTTTTAAAGAGTGCAGCGGGTACCAAGCTTCTCCGAAGAATGACGAAGGATAACATAATGGATGTCTGCCTGCTACACAATTATTAATGGTGTAGTGGGTACCCAGCAAGTATGCTAGCAGCAGATACCGAAAGAGTGTTAAAAAAAGGGGGTTATACGAAAGGCCGTTCTCAAAGTTTTCGCTGTGGCAGTACAAGGCGTTCCGCGCAGGCCTAGCGTTTTTTTTTTTTTTTTCGATATGATTAGAAGGATGGAGAGGCGGCGATTTCTTAGAGAAAAAAAACACGTTAGTTTAAATTTAGAGCTTCTCAAGTCGTATTCCCCTTGTTTCATCGTTTCTTGTCTAGTATGAAATGTCCTTTATCATATTGGTCCTTTTTCCGTCAGCCACATTTGCTTACGTAAGTTCACCATGACTTCTGCGGATTTAGATTCAATATATATACCTCTTTCAATATATGTTGTCATATATGTTGATTGGCCCCGCCGCGGTGGTCTAGTGGCTAAGGTACTCGGCTGCTGACCCGCAGGGCGCGGGTTCGAATCCCGGCTGTGGCGGCTGCATTTCCGATGGAGGCGGAAATGTTGTAGGCCCGTGTGCTCAGATTTGGATGCACGTTAAAGAACCCCAGGTGGTCTAAATTTCCGGAGCCCTCCACTACGGCGTCTCTCATAATCATATAGTGGTTTTGGGACGTTAAACCCCACATATCAATCAATCATATATGTTGATTGAATATATGTTGTCAGGACCACTTACTTTAGGTGGAGGTAGCTCTTCCAAATACCATCATTTATGACTCGTCTAGAAGGGGTTGACTCAGATTATAGTCAAAAAGAAGCAAAAGACAAATGTAGCCCTGATAGTCACTGATGGTTCAAACATATTTGTGGCTTCTGAACACTTCGGTGGTTAGATGAACGGCAATCCACTTGAACACGTGAAGTGAAAAAAACAAGTATACTCATGCTTGGAGCAGTCGTAATCATAGTCGGTGAACTATGCTACAGCTCGCAAACGTTACCGCATTGTACGATAGCACATATCAATCAACCAATCAAGCAAGCAATCAATGGAACTTCATTTTTATGGACAGAAAATTACGTATACAAAAATTGTTTGGGTCGATAGCCTAACGTGGCCGGTGGCCGGTCCCATACAATATGCAAGAAAGCAAGCAGTACAGGTCGGTTATTCAGATAGAAAACAGACACACTGTTAGTGCGAATTACCTCGTAAACTATTTTTCTTTCCTCTTTTTGTCAATGTTAAGACGTCGAGAAATATATGAGACGAAGACGCTAATAATTGGTACCGCCGTCAAATAGTCGCCGCTTTGTTACCGTGCAATTCTGTCCGCGCAGTCACTTGCAGTGCGTTTCTCGGTATCTTGAGACGCTTCCGACAATGACGGACGAGGTGGCTTAGGAACAGACGTCGGTCACGTGCTCCGCAAACGAAAGACGTCAACCGGCAGTTGCTAAGGGCTTCCAAGGTTGACCTGTTCCTGCGGGCGTTCATTGTATGCACATGCTAACGAAGTGACCTTGCGAGGCCACGGTAATAGAAAAAAGAAAGAGTATGACACTCCTTGTTTTGTGACATTACGTGCTTAGCCAGACGCTTGTTGGATAGCCTTTGTGAAGGATTGAGGTGTGGCCAATTATTTCAACGGTACGGGTTCACTAGACGAATAAAGTCGAGGACTACGTAGCACGGAGTGGAAATAAAATTCATAGCAGTAAGATTGAGAGGCCAGACTACGGCAGAATGGGTCAGGGAACAGGAGTGGCGGATATCCTAGTTTACATCGAGTGAGAAAAACGCAGCTGTGCTGGGACGGATAGCCAATGGAGAGTATAGAAGCCACGGAATGGCTACCAAGGGGATGGGAAACGCAGTCGAGAAAAGCAGGGTGAGATGGAGTGTCGAAAGACGTTCAACAAATAAATATAAAATCAGCTCACACAGAATAGTGCCCCATGCCTTCCTAAGTTGTGTTATCGCTCCATTGCACTGTCAGTAATCCTCAGCGCAAACCGCGTCTGCAGTGTTCGTGAAGCCTCAGAACTGTAGTAGATTGTTTTGTTAAGATTACGCCCACTTCGCAAACACTGCAGATTATTCACAAAACTACGTGGCAGCCAGCGATAACGCTATAGAATATTCAACGGCACGTGTATAAATGCCTACGCGCTTCACCGCTTGTCGGTTCATCGACAGCCCACGTTCCGTTCGCCGCTATCAGTGCCACTATGTATCGCAGTAATCTGACGGTAACTTTACCGGCCACAGGTTCGGCCCAAATAAACAGTTTCTCTTCTACCTACAGCCTGCCCCCTTTGTTCAGGTCACGACCCAATGACAATAGGATAAGCAGGACATCATTGGGGGAGGCATTTGTCTTGCAGTGTACTAATCGATTGATATGTGGGGTTTAACGTCCTAAAGCCACCACGTTGTTATGAGAGACGCCATAGTTGAGGAATCCGGAAATTTTGACCGCCTGGGGTTTTCCGTGCACCCACACACGGGCCCACAGCAGTTTCGCCTTCATTTTAAATGCAGCCATCCTAAATGCAGTATATATATATATATATATATATATATAATATATATATATAGATATATATATAGTGATGAGCGAGACAGAGAACAAGAGACAACAACCCGATCCTGGGCCAGCTGTTCTTATCTGCCTCTTCTTCCTCGCTCGCCTAGCATGCGCGTCTGTGCCAGAGTGCCAGTTTCGGTCTTCGTCGTCACACTCGGCCATGACTGCAAGCATTGTCGATGGGCCACACGACAATGTTCATGTGCGTGAGGCTAGCTGCAGCAGTTGACATTGCTTCAGGTGGGCGAGGTTGGCTGCATCGTCGTCCCCGACCACGCTGGAAGTTTGTCGAAATTGGCTCCGGCGGCCGACACTGGCTATGTCGCC